TGGAGAAGACGATGCAAGTCTTTGAGGGCTGTCTTAAATTTCGTGCCAACATTATAAAACATTGCTCAAAAAACATGAGGTGACAAATATTTTCACTTTAAAAAAAAAACCTCCTTAACATTTCTCAAGTAAAAATTGTGCTTAATTAAGTTGTACGGATGATGGTAATCTATATGTAGTACAAAAGGAAAGAGCAACATTAAGCAATTTGTGGTGCTTGCTGCTTGACGATGCACCATTTGTGGGTGCAAAGCCATGATAGCTGCTAGCTTAATGCCGGCACCTTTAAAGATCGATCAATACAATGCAGGTACAGGGACCGATCGAGTAGTGGAAGAAGAATCAACATCATTATATTAGATCAGTCAATCGCATGGTCCACAATCATCACCATTCTATTGCCACGTGGTTACTTACGTACACACGTTCATTGTTTGATGGAGAAATTTTTGGACGAGCACACTATAACATGGCGTGTTATAATATAGTGAAAGGCTTATTTTTAACTACATTTTTTTAATTTGGTATGGCCTCGTTTGGCAGCTCGGACTGTACTGACTATTTCTGTCGGATAGGATAAATAGCCACCGGATAGTACTGACTAAATTAGTCGAACGTTTGGTGCAGTATCGGATTAATGATCGTATTATTTATACTGTGTTTGGTATTATACCGGATAAGATGAATAAAACTTAAAATTGGTATTATAGCAAATAAGAGGAATAAAACTTAAAAAAAAAAGTGAAATCATCTTCTTTTTTTTTTCGCAGATCTCTCTGCACCCATCGAACTCCCTCTTTCTCTCTTCCTTCTTCTTCCCCGACTGCAGAAGCATCCCAAATAATTCTTCCCCGCTTCTCTCCGCGGCACCCCCAAACTCCCTCCCTCTCTCTCCCTTATTCTTCTTCCCCGGCGACAACAACTCTATTTTGTCGCTTCGACTCCGTCTTCCTCTGCGTCAACTGCGACTCTCATCACCCTGCGTCTAGCCCCTGCAAGGTCTGCGAGCAAGCTCCAGGACCGAGAGACCGAGGTGAGCAGGGAGGATGGCGAGGCTGCTATCGAACCTAAAGGCTATGGAGAATCCGGATCTGAACTCAGGTCGTAGAAATGGATCCATATCTGGATCTAGACTACCAGCATGTGGATCCGATGCTTGAAGAAGTTCAGGAGCAGGACATCTGCAGCACGGACGCAGTCGGTTTGGTGTGGCGGTCGTGAAGATGGAGGGGATAGCGCCCCGACTAATTATCCCGAGCTTTTGTGGTGTTTTAATAGTACGGTGTCAACCGTATAAAATTTGATAGACCGGATAATTAAGCGGGTGCTTATTTAGTACGATAGTGCACCAAACAAGTGCTCCCGTATTATTTATCCTATCCGATGCTTTATACGGCGTGCCAAACGAAGCCTATTAGTCTTATTTTGTTCACTATAACTTAAAAGTTGTCACTTTACTTTTTGAAACTCAAAATATGCTCTATTTTGCCATTGGAACTCGATTTTGATCGTATTTTGTCTACTGAAACTCAAAAGTTATCATTTTACTATATAAAACTAAAAACCCGCTCCACAATGCCTTAATTTTGTTAATTTCGTTATGTGGGTTTGATTTAAGTGCACCAGGCTAATTAAATTTTTTTTTTCATCTCCGCAGCTCAAGCAAAGCAACCCAAAAAAAATTTCAATCTTAATTTCTTCTTTTAAATTTAATATTTTATGATTGTTGAATGTTGAGCCCACAAGTCGAAGTGAAATGAATTTTGAGTTTCAGAAAGTAGAGTGGTAATTTTTGAGTTACAGGGAACAAGGTGAGATCAAAATTAAATTTCAGGGACGTAGCTAAAAATAGACTGATAGTGAATTTATATCATCATATAAAGGTTAAAGATCACGTAAAGGAAAATTGATTGGAGAATTTTTTTTACGAAGGCTATAGGGAGAATGACTTAAGCGTATCTTGAACCACTAATACAAAGCAAAAGAGATGTACACATAACTTTATATTAATATCTCATGACGCCATTGATGCCACTATAACAATGCCATTATAAAAAGTGGGTATCAAAAATAGATGAGCTCAAAAAGGTGTTTGATAAACACTTAAAAACAACTTATTTTCATAATTTTGAGTGAAAAAAAATTGAGTGAAGCAACAAAAATGAGCTTATTCTCACAGCACAGCAGAAGCAGTTTTTTTTCAAAGCATAGCAATACCAAACCAGCCTTAAGTCTTTCTTTGCTAATAGACCATGTGTTAGATGTATCATGCATGGATAATCTTAAAGGAGACTAAATTTTCAAAACCAAATTATATAGTTGTGGATGATTAGATTATTACTTAAGCGTTGATTAACGTGCTTATTTTATATTGGTGACACAATATTTTTATAAATTTGGTTTAAAATTTTGATCTCCCTAATATTATTCATTGTGCAAAGACCCATTGTTTGCATGAGTTGAGCAACTCATATAAACCCCAAAACCCATTGTTTGCATGAGTTGCGCAACTCATATAAACCCCAAAACCCATCTCAGTGATTCTGTTTCCCAATTAGCCTCTCGCATGGATGTGTGCTTAATCATGATTATTGTGTTGATCTTCTCTTTCAAACACTCCTAATTTTTTTCCTGGTTGGCGTGAGATTAAAAGTTCTCTGCACTTTTCGTGCATGATTTCAAATTTAAAATCCTACGTAAGAAGTATATGCACGGTGAGAGTGTAATCTGACATCGAGAAAGTAAAAGTCTTTTATCGTATAATAAAATACAATTTCACTTGAATCTAGCATGTTAGTGGTAGTCAATCATGTGGATTGCTCAATCAGAATAACAGTATAAACATACATGATACACGAGATTAGAAACACATGACCAACTATATACATTATTTTATTATTCTATACCGCTCACCAGTGACGAAGCCAACATTAGGTCATTAGTTGTCTTTGATCTCAATAACTTTAAAAACCCCATATATATTTGTTTGTATATTGTATTGACATTTATAAACAGCTAAGGGAAACTAAATTACAACCTCATCTTCATACTTCTTCTATTTTCTTATGTTATATTTGTTTTCATTTTTCTCTTTTTGTATGAAATACTTTGGTTGAAAAGGCTTGACAGTTTTCAACATTACTCCACAGTGTCCTACATCCACCATCGACAAGCCTCTTCAAGTAATAGTAGTTGTCAACACATATTGGCATAAACTTTCGACAAATGTTGACAAAAATTGGCAGGTGCCTACTAGGTGCTCGACGACATGGCCCAATGAAGCTTTTTGGTTGATATTATGACCCTATTATTTGAAAATCTTGGCTACGCCACTGCAGCTCACATACCATGCTAAAATCAAACGAAAAATCAAGAGTGAGAATAATAATGCCATAAACATGGAACTTGTTTGGATGTGCTGTTAAAATGATTGAAAACGCTTTTAAAGAAAATGTTTTTGGGTTCCAAAAGCGTGTTTTTTCAAGATTTATTTGTATTTTTGCTAAGAATTAGTTCCAAAAATATTTTCACCAAAACACCTTCAACCATTTTAAAGACAACATAAATATATGGTAATATTACACTAATAAGATTGCCGAAAAGCTAGATCTTGTTATAATGGGCCTAAGACGAACATCACGAAGATCAAATTCAACATGGGCTTAACCAGCCCAGAAGGTTGTTGTGGGTTCTTGAGGGGGTTCTCAAGGAGTTGGGCTGGGCTATATAGTCAGTGGGCTTGGATCCAATAGCTCCATGGCCAAACCTGTACGGATGCTTGTTGGGTTGGTTTACCACCATCTCCAAATTCCAATCAACTCAATTTTGTCTTCAACCCAAGAGAAATGAAGGTGATAAAAAATGGTATTAGCCGAGTGTAATGATATACAAAGTTATGTGTTATCACCGATGATATATCTCTAACGACATTCAATCTTCACTTTCTACGTGTACAACTAAAATTTCACTTATGTGTTTTTGCAAAATGAAATCAAATTGTTGGTTGGACTCGAGATTTTGCATTTCATTTCAACAATACGACAAATTGTATGCACAAAATTTGAACTCAAGAAGATGTCTTGCATAAGCTCTTGGGATTTTAGCTAAGTGGCGAAGAAGACTGGGTGATGGGCTAGGATTTTAGAATAGGTCCATAGTTTTAATCCTTTCGATGAGTTACGGTTATAGTGTCTATAACAATACGAGACAAAAATGTTTAATAAGAAGACATTTCGTTTTCGATATTTAGTACTATGATTTAATTGTATTTATTTTCACTTGTTAGTGAAATGTTTTAAGTTTAAATCTCATGAATGCCGAGTTCGCAATCACATTATTTCTCTACCCCTTCAGTGTAAATATATCATTGTATAAAATATAAAGACATTTTCACCCTATCTTTTTTATCACTTTGCGGTATCCCATTTTTCTTAAAGTTTAAATTAAATAAAAGTTTTTTTAACAAACAAGTTAAAATGTTAGTTGTTAGGAGCAATTTTTAAAATATTGGTATCGGTGGAAATATTGATATGCAAATTTGTGAAAATATCAATAGATATATTAAGTATCGATATTGATTACTTTTGATGAAAATAATGAAAATTTATAATGAAACCTTATGAATTGTCAAATATTGGTTTTAACGAAATATAAAAGTTGCTCAAATATTTAAAAAATGTGTCAGCAAAATCGACGGTATATGTTGATTTTAGTCTAAAATTAGTTTCTTCGATATGAGGTGGTGAAGTTTAAACTTAACCCCTAATTTTCATATTTTTTTATTTATATTTTCATGAAAATATCGACCGTATCGAATAAATTTTAAACACAATTAGAAGTAAGAGGATCAATGAGGATCGAACTCGTACTAAAATGCATAGATATGATTCACTACTACACTTAAAACGTTATCTACAAATCAAGTGGGGCCCGTGGGCACGTGTTGGCAGTTGGCGCAGCCAAACAAATTGAATAAAAAGACAAAAACCCCTCAACCGTCTCCCTCTTTTCCTCTTCTCTTCTCCCTCTCGGAGTCGGAGCAGCAGAAAACCCACGAGCACTCAAATTATCGTTTTCCAGTTTCAAATCTCACTCCAAAAAAAAAAATAAAAAAACGAAAGAGAAAAGTAGGATTCTCTCTCCCTCTCCGTTCTAGGGTTTCCGCTTCCGCCATTGCCACGCACGTTCGCGCATTCTCTTTCCGCCACTGCGACCATTGCTTGCTCCGAGCTCGCCGGAACTTTCGATTGCTGCCGGTTGGGATTCTCCGATTCGGTGTCGTTTTTGGTAATTGCGAGGCGTTTTGTTGGGACTCGGAGGAAGGCTGCTTGTACGGACTGTGGTGTAGGTGAGGTTCACCTGCTGCTTGAATTTTTATTTCGATTGTTTCAAGTGGTTGATTAAGCATTTATGCGAATTGCTCTCTAGGTTGAAGGTTTTGGTAGGGTTTTGGATTGTGGTTTGCACATTGATGAATTCGATTTTTTTAGTTTTTCTTTGCTAAATTTGGGTTTAGAGTAGCGGTTATTTATGCGTTTGAATTGCAAATAAAGATGGACTCTTTCGTGCTTGTCATTGTGAATTGCCCGTGCATTTTGAAATGTGTTGCTGTATGAATTTATTTTTACTCGCAGGCTCACAATCCGCGTAGTGATTTTCGGTTTTACTGTGGTAATGCAAGGCTGGATGGTGTTCGTACGGTTTTACATGGACTCTTTTTGGGACAGTGGAAGTTAGTAGAGCGTATTGTTACATACAGGTATGCGAGTCTCGATGGTATGTTCACTTGGAAGTGGGAGGATGGCTGTCATGGCAAGGCTTCTGGCAGGCGGGACTGTCTCACAAAGCATAACAGGTACAATATGATTTTTTATTTTTTATTTTTTGTTTTTTTGTTTTGTCAAACGATAGATTTGTTAGATTAGAGAGCTGATGGGGTTCGAACGCACGCCATGGTGCAAGGGCAACACCCCTCTCCACCACTATGGTTGAGGACCACTTGCATGGTACAATATGACTTTGGGGTTGTATGTTTTGTGCATTTTGTGGGCTTTCTACACTCTGCCTCACTTATGGTCTACCAATGCTTAGTGGAACTAATTATTTTTTCTTTTAAGCAGCACTCAATTGCCCCGTTTTGGTTTGTCATTAACCTCATTCCCTGTATCCTCTGTACAGAAGATGTTGGCCATCAGAAGTTTGCCGCTCAAATAATTTGCAGAGAATTAAGTGAGGCAAATGAAGCTAATTTGCTTGACGAAGAAGGTGATTTCTTTATTTAATTCAGACGCACCTTTTTAATAAAGAAGTGTATTTGTTCTATGGTCACGGGGTTAATGATAATCTGGTGATGGTGGTTTTGACTAGGAACATCTTTTATTCGACATTATAATACTATATATTTATAAACATGATTAAGAACATTTTTATCAAATTTGGCAGATTAATGTGCACCTTTAAGTGTTTTCATTTTGTTTCTAAAAATTTGGTTTTCTAGATGCATATGTATCACAGCTCTTGGTTCAATTCTGTATTGTAACATTTTATAGTTTCATGCAAGCCTTTAGTTTGTAGTTCGATAATTTTGTTTGATGATTTCCATCTGGGTCTGCAGATATGCATGTGTTTGGTTTGAAGCCGATGGATGATCCTTTACATTTGGTAAGGTTTAGATTACATCGATTTGCCCATGTATGCTGAGTATTTACACTTTTGCAAAGAAATAACTTGTACATTATCATGTAGGTATATAACACTGTTCAAGCTGGCAAATTCTTAATTTCTTCCATCGTAAACATTAGAAACTTCATATTTACTACCTTTGTGCTTGTAGTACTAATACAATAGTGGTCATAACTTCCTTAACTGGAAATAAAGGAGACCTTAGCCATTTCTAAGTCTCTAGTGACTTCTTTTGCTAATAAATGAGCATGAATTTATTTTATGGGGGCAAATAAACTTCAAGTAGTGGATAGTTGCAGTAACACATTGAAGAAATTAAATGATTGCGAAGTCATCAACAGTCAAATTGAGTAAAGTGGATCAATGTGATGTTCAGCAATACTGTGGTCTGTCTCAGACCAAAAATATTGGTTACAAATGTGTTGGTATGAATTATGGTGCAGTGAGAGGCTGAGTGGAACTATAGATAGTTTTCTGTGCGATTGCTGTAGGAACCTTATGACTTCTTGCATACAGTAATTGATACGGACTATGATTTTGTGGTTAGCAGAAAAGTAGGTAAAGTTCCTTGGGGTTTATATCCAGGGACCAGGGGTTGAATCTGGCCTTTACCTTGGTTTGAGGTCTTGTGGATGGGAGAGGACTACCATCCACTGTCCTTTACTGGACTGAGAAATTAATACATTTCTCTCAGGTTTAGATTTATGTAGGTCAAACAAGATATCATCACTTGACTAGTGACTACTTTAGCCTGTGAGAGTGTTTGTGGCAGCAATAAGCCCTCTGCTTCTGTAATCTCCAAAAAATTAACATCATGATATTTTGATTATGCACAACACAAGTTGCCTTTACTGCATGGAGTGTGTTAGATATGAAGAATATTACTTTTTATATAGCTGATCTGCTTTAAGTCTTTAAGTAAAAAATAAAAAAGGTACCTGACTGATCCGTGTCGATGTTTATATCTGATGTGTTTGTGTGGTTATATCTCTATGCATAACCTCTATTTAATTTGATTATTTAACATACTGTGAAGGTGTGTTGCAATGCTTGTAAAAAACCAGTCAAGGCCAGTCAGTATGTGGCTCATGCAGGTTTGGAGGTCTTTTTTTTCCTGCTATTTCCTTCAAAATAGTTCTCTGTGTTCCTTAGGCCTTTCATATGTAGACACACATGTTTGTTTTCCCTTTCTTGTGTGTGTATGTGTGTCAGCCCAGTATTCTTGCGCTTTACAATTTTAAGCATGCTACCATGTAAGAAAATACTCGATGCTAGCACCCAGTGGAAACCTTTGGATGTGAATTAGTTCTCTTCATAATATTTATTGCTCAAATGTTTGTATGTGGTGTGTTGCATGCTCGATGGAGAAAAATGTGTTGCATGCATAGCCCAATTCATGTTCCAATCTAGGATCTCTCAATGTGGTAGATACCTTATCCATGTTTATTGGACTGCAAGTAGTGTTTGCTGATTGGTTCCTTCCTAACTCTTTAAGTGTGCTGGATGGCCCGGAATTTTCAGAACTTTGTAGGTCCTTAAATTCTATGCAGGAAACTACTTTGGAGCTTGATGGAAGTATGGGGCAAAGGAAGCCTCCGAAGAAGGAGAGGAAAAAGTTATCAATTGCTCATTCTAGTATCCTTTTTTTATTTATTTCAATAGTAAAGTTTAGTGTTTTCCTTGTTCTTTCTTACATTTCGTACTGATGCCTCATCCCGTTTCTCTTATTCATTTCTATTTGAAACAAAGTGGAGTAAAGTTTAGTGTTATGGAAGATTTAATAGTAGTTATTGATATAAACATCATTTTCTGAGTTTTTTTTTTTTTTTTTCAAGTAGCATCTTGGTGCTATTTTTTTTTTTTTTTCTGATTCAGTGGATAATGTTACCAAATGGTGTGACAATTTGATGATTCTTAACCTTTTCTAGACCAGTCCACTTTAGTTGGAGAGCTAGAACGATCTGAATCTATAGATGCAGATGATATCACTGTGTCACGATTCCAGTTGGATGGGAAAATGGGAATGAATCCTGGCTCTTTTATGGAGGCAAAAAGTAACTGTTATTTGTGCCTAATATTGTCTTCAATTTGATATCTTGACTTTCCTAATTTTAAATCTCTGTTTTGTTTTTATCACCTTTTTTTCTTTCCTTGCCCGACATGTTACTTTTTTTCACCATTAGGGTGCAATTTTCCATTTAAATCATGTTCCTGAACAAATTAATCAGGCTGTAACTTAGGGCCTGGTATATGAAGTATTGGCATATTGCAGATTTTGTTTAAATATAAGATTCTCCCTAGAGTTTAGTTCTATTCTTAATATCATCTAGCAATGTCACAATGACCTTCTTAAGTTGATTTGCGCAAGTGCACTCCTCCCTCCTTTATTTTCCACTAGAGAGGAGTGCTTGACTTTTCAAAGAGCAAAAATGAGCTCCCAAATAAAGCAATCAAATAAATTATTATACAGCTATTCTGCATAAGGATTTGTTCATATATGTATCATTTCATATAGTGAATTCAGCTTATGTAGATGTGACAATCATGATGGATGGTTCCGGAGTTAGTCCAGGAAATACCAATGGCTCAACATCTGTGATGCTTCCACCAACGAAACGATTTAAAATGTACGATTGTTATTCTTGTGACCATTAATTATCTTTGCATTGTGATTATATACATATCTTAAGTACTTTAAAAGTCTATTTGAACTTCAAACATATAATGCACACAACTGCTCTAGCTGTTTCCCTTTAGTCAGTTTCTTTCGCCCCCCCCCCCCCCCCCCCCCCCCCCCCCCCCCCCCCCCCCCTTCCTCTGATCTTATGCACAGCCGAATACTGGACTGTCAATTTTCATTTTCCTCTTTTAAGGATTTTGAGTACTTGTGCATTGTGTTTAATGAGCAATTTAGAGAAATGGACTCTTAGTGGCTTTAGACATTTACCCTGTAGTGGGGTCAGAAAGAATGTCTAGACCATGGGCACTTCTTTTGACTTCTTCTTGCTACTTTTATTGATGCCTTATCGCAAAATTTTTATATTTTTATTTTTGTTTATTAGCTGCCTACCCATTGTGGGTAGGGTGATGCAATGTTACAAAAGTGGGATTCATTCTTGCATCCTGTATACAAGTCAAATGCAATGGCTTGTTGGAAATGTTCAGTCGCTCTATTTTTTGTTTTGTTTTTGTATTTATATAGAAGAAGCCTTTAAATGGTGTTGGATATTTGTCTTTCATTTCCATTAAATGATGCAAATGCCTTTTTCCCCGCTTGTAGGGTAGCAGGTCAGCAGCTGCCACTATCAGATGATATAGGAACAGCATCTGCTGTATCAAAACTTGCAAGTACTCAGGATGCATGTCCTTGTGAGGATCTTTAATTTTTGGAAGTTTTATATTAAATCATCATCATATACACTCACATGTTGCTTGTCGAGTATTGAATATCCAATCACTTTATTTTGTATTTTAAATACTCCCTAATGTTAAAATATAGAGAACTTTTCATCTATAGCTACCCTCATTACTTGGGCATGAGTATATCACCACCATTTTTCATAGTATGAGAAGTTGGATATGGTTGATTTTGATGTTTGATTCTCATTACGCATTAATTCAGAGAACTTTTATATTTTCACCCCACACCCTAGAGGAAACGAAGAACTGAAATTGGGAAGAAACTACAAATGGATTTCATTGTTTCATTATTTCAAATATGCATAAATATGGTAACTATCACCTCTAACGTAACTAAAACTTTATTGATTCTCTAGTTGCTTCTAAATTTATGGTGTATTCACGTCTAGGTATGTATTTCGTGCATGTGTGCAGATAGGGATTCTCCAAAAGGAGCCATTCCTGCAAGTGAAATACCTTATCCTGCTCTTAAGTATAAGAAGTCCGGGCAAGCCCTTGAATGCTGCCTGCCAATTAAAGGTATGCTAATAATAGTGTCAGTTTGCTCAATTCTTTTACTTTAGCATGCAAAGAGTAACAATAAGGTCTTGAATCTTAAAGATGAATCATCATATGTACTTTTTGAACTTCAATCGACTTCTTGGGAAAGTTTATCCTGATGATCATTCTTTCCCAATAATGTACCGTACGTGCTCTCTGTTCAAAGTATTTGACAAAAAGTTTTGTATTAATCAGATTGTCCTCTTCCCCTTGCTACTAAAGTATATTACTCTCAAAGATGCAATCGACTCCGGTCAGATCTTAGTCATCTTTATCATGAGGCAATGGCATCGACTGAGGAGCTTTGTAGTGACATGGTGAGTCACTAGTATGAAGATGTTAAATGAGTATCGGACAACATTTTGGATTGCAGCAAAACAAGATTGTCTCCCTCTCCTTTTTCCATCAAACGTTTTAGTGACAAACAGCTAATCTGAGATATAATTACTTAATTGTAAAACAGAGAGACTCACAGCATTTGCCTTCTTTAAGGAAACCTGATCAAATTCTCGCACAAAATTCAGAAGTTTGCTTGGGGAACTCGGTAGGTTGCCAGCCTGACGGTGACTTCTCGAATCAGTTACCCGTGGATAATGTTCCAAGGCCTGAGGTGGCTAGTGTTCGTTTAACTAGAAGCAAAATTCTTTCGAAACCTTATTCTTTTGCGGGTAACTCAGGTATTCTTGAATCCTTTGTAAGATGTGTAGTATTTCATTAGAAGTGTACATTAGATTTGATCATACTTGTTTGTTCTGTAAGTACTTCCACAATGGTAAATAAATCGTTCACCCAGACAATTTCATTGGTTTTGTAGGACAATCACTGGGGATCATGCAACAGAAAACTGGCAGCATTCACGTAATATAGGAGTCCTGGTAGGAATTTTTGCCTCGGTTAAGGTTCAAATTGAACCTAATACTTGAGGTTAGGACATAGGTTTCTTTTCCGAAATTGACTATACTCATCAGTAAAACGTTCATTCGAGGCCTCTACATAAGAATCAATGACTGAGCAATGTTTGTATATCGCTTGCTGTCCCAAGTTTCTGTACGAAGAAATGCTACTCTCGAATTTTTAAATATGACTATTTGTGGCCTTTTAATTGATGCAATATTCTTTCTGTTACATTAGTTTCGTTGAAGTCGCCTTCCATTTACTATAATTCTTCTGTACATGGAGAAAAGTTTCATGTCATCCTTTTTTTCCTATGCTGTGGCTATCGAAAGTTTGGTGGTGACGGAAACATGTTGCTCCAGTTCGATTACGAAATTAAGCGGGAGCTCTCAGTTGGCGGGGCCCTGGTAAGTTTCCATCAACATTTATCATCTATGCAATGAAAGAAGCACAGGCCTCATGTGTGAAAACAGCAGCCAGCGCAAGACAAGACTTGCGCGTGACCGCAACAGACTTGGACAGCCTCTTGTTATTGTGGTAAGATATTTTAATTAATTATATCCTAGATATTTTGATCCTTAGATATAAACGGCAAGCCAGTTAAAAGTAATGCCAAATTATGTCCTTGTTCTTACTTCTTAAGTGCGTGATGGGCTCTTGTTCCCAAAGCATGTCTAGATCTCATGATAAAAGAAACACCCATAAATGTTAATTATGTCTTGGGTCTCTTTAGTTTGATGCTTTCGTTTGTTTATCCAAACAAGAATTTTTTAATCAACGTCTTTATCTGTACGAATTTCGAGAGCAATTATTGTCGTTCTAAAAAACTCATTCTGTATTTCTCGTTCGGAAAAACACGAAAGAGAAAGTGCGTATCTGAGGAAGTGCTGAATAAATTTTTCGGGAGTGTCAGTAAGAATTCCTTAAATTCTCTTCCAAGTGATTAAAAGATGATTTAAGGCTGACGTAGGTGTAGGTGTAGGAATATGCTTTGAGAAATCATGGTGGTCGTGTGATTGATAAGGCTGGCATCCTCTTTTTTGCAATAGTGCCCCCATTTAAAAAGTTGGGGAGTGTCACTTTCCTCATCCTACCAATTGGCATGTGGGCTCATACTTTTTTGAGAGCAAATAAATCAAGAGTGGGTGGTTTTTGGGGTAGTATCCATCCATCCTGTGGGCTAGCACTAGTAAAATTCTTGTCTCCTCGTATGTTGTTGCGGACAAGTCACAGTTTGACGTGTAATGCGTCCGAATCTCTCATTTCTGTGATTGGAATGATCTGATTTTACAAACAACTGTGATTTGCAGATAAGAAGACGATATTCCAACATAAAACCTCTCTCTCTCTAATATGATACTCTCAAACCAGAGGCCCACACAAACCTTTGTGTAAATCCTAGATCCTCGTATGGGAGAGGTCAAATTCGATCCTCAACACATCAGGTTTGGCTCCTCCCGCAAGAGGACCTCATATATATCTCGAAGTATTAGCATTTGCCAGTTTGTTTGTCTGGTGGTTTCTGATTAGACAAAGGGAGAGACAGATAATTGAAATATAACAACCGACAAACAAAGTGTTCCTCTCAATTCAAGTGTCTTCATGTACACATGTTTTCTTCTCATATGTTTCCTTTTGGTTTTGTCCCCTTATCTTTACAAACTTTGCTTGCCGTTCAAGTCTTGTCTGGTAGACTTATATATAACTAGTTCACTGTCTCGTAGCATTTCAGTTTAATAATGCATCGCTATGCATAAATTTTTTCATGCGCAATGCATTATTGGACTGGATGGCACGTAGATGGTGAACTAGTTCTATGTAAGTTGTTCTCGTGGGTTGGAATGTCGAGTTTAAAACACAAAAAACTTATAGAATTGTGAATTTAGATTAGAAATAATTAAGTCGATTAGAAAAACGTAATAAAAAAACAGATAAAATATGAAATAAGGTTAGAGAATCCCGTCAGAATCATCACTTGGGTACTAAGCAATATGAAAAACAAAAATAAGGCTGTCATGCTCGTAGAGTACGTAAAATTTGGACACTAGTTTACTTTTACGTTAAAACAAAAGTTTGTGTGTGTATAATAAAGAGGAAGGGAAGGCTAATTTGCGGATTAGTCTAATACAAATTAAGATTCCACCCACTGATTAGCCGGCAAACTTTGTGTCATCTCCGCCCATCGGTTTAGACGGATTATCGATGTATTTTGTGCGTTGGTCCCCTCTACGACAACTTTACCTAAGACTTCCTCATCTGAACTAAACTTACGAGGTCCACTTTCAAGGACCTTAAACAAGCTTTAACAAGATGTATATAGTATGAATTTGTATTTCTGAGGTCGTCCATCTGACTTCTTGCGTTGCATTTTCAGGTGGCGGTTAGGCTTTGCCTTGCTTAGAAAGGTCTTTCGGGAGAAGATATTCTACATTAACATTCCACACTCCACGTTTTGGATCGATTCTTGGTGTCAGAGGAGCATAAAATGCCTCTGTGAGTCGTCTCAACCTCTCAAATGATAGATTGTCATAGCAAAGTCACTAGCTGATTCATTTTTAGAAAAACAATAAAAAGGTGAACTGAATTCGATTAGATTAGATTAGATTGAACTTAATTTGGTTAATTAGTTTATTGACCAAAAAAAAGTTGGTTAACTTTTTTTTTTTAAGTACATCGATATTTTTACACTAAGAGGAGTGGGAGTTCGGCAAAGCCACACGATGGCCAGCCTAATTTGGTATTGAATTCGTCATCCATGAAATTCGAATTTAAGACCTCTCACTTCCAAATAAGGAGAAATACCACATATCGTAATATTGAGTGGCAAAAAAAAAAAAGTTGGTTAATTAGTTTGGCTAAATTGTATTGAACTTAAATACTCTTACTACTAGAGTCCAACCTTATCCATTCATTTTTCGGATAAAATTTTCCATTAATTTTTTGGGATAAACTTTCAGTGCAAGTGTAGAACTATCACTTGGTATTCCAATTTTTTTTTTTAAATAAGTAATATTATCTACACTAAAAGGGAGGGAGTGTCCTAAGTCTCATACTGAGCTAGCAATAATATGGTTCAAATTCGTCGTTGACGAGATTCGAACTTAAAATCTCTCACTTATAAGTGAGGAAGAATACCATTAGATCGTAGTACTAAGTGGCAATTTGGTATTCCAATTAAAATGCGTAAACAGTATTTTATAGTTTTTTATTTATTTGAACTAGCGATATTATCTAGTAGGCTAAGCCTCATAATGGGCGAAACAATAATACGAGATTCAAATTCGCTTGGCGAGAATTAAATTCAAAACCTCTCACTTACAAATTAAAAAGATGAATATCATTGACTGTACAACTAGGTGACAACAGTATTTTACAGTTAATAGTATGATTTTAATAATAAAATAGAATAAAATTATATCATGTTGGGTACACTAAAACTTACTTTTTATATTTTAGGGTTTGTATTTTTTTTTTCTTCAAGATTTCTAAAATAAAAGAAAATGAAATTGAGAGATGTGTTGTAGGTCTAATTTACTGAACAATATAAAGGATAGTGAGAGAGAGGTGCAACATAGAGAGATGAGAGAGATGGGCAATTGTGAGATGTGTGTTATGCCACGCCGTGTCTTTATTTATAGTAATTTTTTTTTTTCCAAAAGAAAGAAATTTTATTATATTCAAATGTAAATGTTTACATCCGAAGCCAAAATATTAAATAGCGATTCTGGCTCAAGACCATCCCAATTATGAAAGCCCCCTTCTCGCGTAACAAAAGAAGCCACTGGATGCGCTGTCTTGTTGCAAACAGGATGAGCGAAGATAACTTCTATTGACCTCAATTGTTGTTTCAACCATTGAACATCAAAAAGGATGCCTTCAATCACAACATCAAGTTGAGTTTTCCCGTCAAGCATATCCACTAGACATTTGGAGTCCGACTCTATCTGAACCGACTCAAAGCCCTTATCAATACAAGTCAACACTGCCGCTTGTATCGCTTCAGCCTCCACCATTAAACTAAATTCATATGGCAGGTCTCCACTGTCGCCTGCCCCTTAAAAGATACCCGCATAATCTCTTGCCACCTATCCATATCCACCACGGCCCAACGCCTTGAACCAAGCTCCATTAACATTCACTTTGATTGTACGAAATGATGGGCGTACCCAACTTTTAGGAAGAGGATCACTAACCTGGGCAATCTCTTTATTTATAATAATATGGAAGGTAAATTCCTTACCTAATAAGATTTCAACTTTAATAATATAGTACTAGTCTAAGATATATGCTAGAATCCCAATAAATATTCTAAATATATTAAAATTTATACAATCGCATTCCTAATCTAATAAAGATTACAACAAGCTGCATATTATATTAAGAGAAAATTATTTTTGGCTTGGATGATGTTTTGGTTGACATTCGCCTTCACCCATTTTGAGGTGTTTTTTTTTTCAACGCCCCATGGTTGTAGATAGCGCTCCAAATTTAAGATTTGCGTTCACATTATTAAATAAATCTCCACATCGCACACATCAATCATCCCACTTCGCCACGTGTACACTATAAAATAATTTCACAGTTGAAAATTCTAGATGTATAATAATATATTTATGGAAAATATGGAAAAAAGGCTGACCAAATCCTTTTTTCACAATTTTCAACTCTGGATTGGAACTTAAGATTTTTAAATTCAAAAGATTTAGGTTTTAATCTAGAAAAAAAATAATTTCTTTTTTAACAGTTTTGGATTAACTTTGAGTTCGAAATTATTAAAAAAATAAATTTTAAGAATAATTTGTTTTCCATAAAGTATTTTAATATATATATATATATATATATAATATCCTAATTTAATTCTATGAACATTTTAACTTAGGGGTGTATTCAATTAAGAATTTGAGAGATTTTAATAGATTTATAAATCCATAGATTTTTATGGAGTTGAATTGATTTGTAGAGATTTCATATAAATTTTGATTCAATTCCCTCAAAATCTTATGGGGAGAGGTGAGATTTGTGGATGCTTAAAATACACTACGAAATCTCTCTAATTTCCTCTAATTCTTCAACTTTCTCAAATTCTTTAAAATCAATTTCTAATTGAATACACCAAGAATGTTATAAACTTCTTTAAAATCCTAATTGAATACATCCGGATTTATATGGATTTTAATAAACTATCTTAAAATTCTAATGGGAAATTTTATTTGAACCCATCTACCATCTTTCTACACTCAGCTTACTCTCTTTACCCATATTTTTTTAATTAAAGAATTAATATCTCTTAAACCCAAATTTATTACCTAAAATACCCTCTCAAATCCAATTCAAAATGTAAAGTTATCTTTAGACCCATTCCCTTTATAAAATAACATCTCTAACTGAATGTTTTTTTTTTCTTCAAAGAGGCATCCTTTGCCCCTGTATAATTGCATAGGACACCATTTCCATGACCTTTTGTTTTTGTGTTTTTTTTTTCTGCTACCAAACCCATCCATAGACTTGTGATCCAAGAGATCCTTCCATAGATTTGAATTTGCCAGAGAATGCGATGCAAGCTCCAGTTTAGTCCATCACTTTGCCAGAAAAACATTTGACCTTGATGCTTTGGATTTGGATGGAGACATGCCACCCGCTAGTGAGTGGTCAATGTTTATGAGGTTGGGCAATCGTTATTTGCATCGAGAATCAAGTTATATGTCTTTGCACTACTAATCAGAAGTCCTTGCAATGGTGTTTTGGGGGCAAATAGACGACAGAGAAAAACAAATATAATATAATATAATAAGTATGAAATTTAATCCAAAGAAGAAGCAAACAAACAAAATATCCATATTTTTAAGTCATACCTTAGTTGGAGGATTCAAAACTTCAAAATCACTATCCATCAATAAAAAAAAAACTTGTTTTTCTCTATCACAACTATTAGAGTTTTAGTCGGAATTGACGTAGGATAAACAAAGGGTGATGCTAGAATTTAATTATAGTGTCTGGATTTATTGAGAAATTTGAGTTTTATTATTAATTTCATTTTGTACTTAATAGTAATTATGCAATAGGGTAAAATAGACAATTAACATTTAAAATAGGGTAAAATAGACAATTAACATTTAAAATTTAAGTTGGGTGTAGAAAGAGGTTACATGGGATTAAATAAAATTTCCCAATTCTAATTGAATACACCTTGAATTTAAGAGAATCACTTAAAATCTTGATTGAATACCCCTAGATTCATTAAAAGAATTAAAATCCTTCAAAATCCCAATTGAATACACCCCGTTAAAAATAATTTGATTCCTAAATATTGAAAAAAAAACACTAAAACAACATTATGAAACTTGTGGAAATATGAAACACATAAAAGATTTTTTTTAATTACTTTAGCCATTTGATTTAAATTTGGACGGTTATATCTTTGTTTTATCGTTGGATTTGATCATATTAGATCTTTGCCGATTGGATTCAATGAAATTATAAAATATAAAACTAAAAAAAATACACGTATATGATGGGTCAGCCATTCTAATCCACGGAGAATTCTAGCCTAAATTTGCACTAAAAATAAATTTTGGATTAAAACTCATATTTGCCTCAAGGTTGAAGTAAATTGGAGTAAGTTTATAACTTAGAATTTGAGTTTTATTTCAAAAATTGAAATAGGTCTCAAGGAAAAAATATAATAAAATCACGTTTTCCAATTCACAGATTTGCAATTTGAAGTTGAACAATTTCGAATAATTAATTAGAAAATCCCACCAAACAATGTTTTTTTTTTTTAATAGTCTAACCTTTTGGGACCGAAAAAACTCATAGAAACCCTTAATCATCATTGTGTGATTCACAAATGTATCGTGTGAAATATGAGTCTAAAAATTTGTGCTCACATTGCCACCCGTGGTGGTTAATCCCTCTACATAATCAAGAGTATAAAATGAAAAAGAAAAATTTTCCCACTCACCAAACAACAAATAAGAAAGAGTACAAAATAACAGAGAAAAAAATTGAATAAATATTCCTAGTTGCTCTGGCCACTCGATTCTTCTTCAAAATTCCCAAATCCTCCATTCCAAATCCAATTTCTTATCCCATCGTATTCTGCTTCGTCGTGGAGTTTGAATCAATTGGGAGATGTCGATAAGGAGTATAATCCAGGACATGAAGTTCTCGCGGTCGCAGCGGGTGGTGCAGGACTCGGCGGCTCGGCCGGGCGGCCAGGCGGTGGGGGAGTCGTTGAAGCAGAGCTGCTGGGCTCAGATGCCTCAGGAGTTACTCAGAGAGGTTCTGGTCAGAATCGAGGCTTCGGAGGCCGCCTGGCCGCCGCGCAAGAGCGTCGTCGCCTGCGCCGGTGTCTGCCGGAGTTGGAGACACCTCACCAAGGAGATCGTCAAGGCTCCTGAACTCTCTGGAAAGTTGACCTTCCCCATCTCCGTCAAGCAGGTCTCTCTCTCTCTCTAGAAAAAAAGGAAAATTATTTTGATTGAGTTCTTTTTCTTCTCTAATTGATTGAGTTTATGTCCAAAATTTACATTTGTTTGCATTTCTCATGGATTCTGGATGTATTACAATTGGGTTTCAGTGGAAATTGCATTGCTTGATTTGTTTGTGATGCTTCTGGAGTGTGACTGGAGTGAACTTTTTAGCATAATTCTTGGCCTTCCAGGCAAGTTTAGCCAAATCTTCAATCTTTGTAATGTTTTTTGGAATTGGAAAGCAATTTTTCTTAACGGTTGTAGTGGCTAAAATTACAAAATTTCAGTCGTTAGTAACCATGTAGTGTAAATTGGTTTAACAAGCGAGGGGAAGAGCCTAAGATCACGTGAATCACGTTCTGAATTCTTATTTGTTCGATTTTCGGGTTGGAAAATCTTTGGTTTACCAAGATTTTGATTTATTGTTCTCTACCTTTGAAATCGTCGTTGTACATATTTTCAATATCTGTTTTATCTGATTGCAGCCTGGTCCAAGGGATGATCTCGTGCAGTGCTTTATCAAACGGAACCGTTCCGACCAAACATATTATCTTTTTCTTGGTTTGACCCCTGGTGAGCATTTTTTAACCGAAAAAGGAAGTTCTATTGTTTTGAGTACATTTTGAATGACAGGTAAACTTTTCTGGTTTGTTTTTCAAAGATATGGGTTTTCCATATTTGCTCTAGTTTTTTTTTCAGTTAGGTCATGTAGGTATTGATTTCTCTCTTAAGAAATCGCTTTTGCTTTCTGTAAATGGTGGACCTGTCCTCTTTCGGTTTCCTTTTTGAGCTATAAGTTTGTGTTAAATTTTCTTGTTTGTCTGGTGTCAATGGCAGCTCTAATTGACGAAGGCAAGTTCCTACTTGCTGCGCGCAAGTTTAAACGCCCCACCTGCACTGATTATGTTATCTCACTGTATGCTGATGATATGTCAAAGGGGAGCAGCTACTATGTTGGGAAACTGAGGTGTGCCGAAAGATGCATATGATGTAACCTGTTTTCTTGTTCACCATGAGCTTAAGTATTAACACACTTTTCCCCCCTCTCTCTTTGTGAAGATCAAACTTCTTGGGAACAAAGTTTACAATCTTTGATGGGCAGCCGAGTCATTCGGGAGCCAAGATTGCAAAAAGTCGCTCCACTAGGCTTGTCAATTTGAAACAAGTTTCCCCTAGAGTCCCTGCTGGCAACTATCCGGTGGCTCAAATCCAATATGAACTAAATATGTTGGGTTCCAGGTAAACCTTATGCTTGTAGGACAAGTTATAGAACGTACTTTAGAAGTGAAATTATAAGAGTACATCTAGTATTTCATCGGCATAGGTGATGCTTTCATTCTTTTCTCTTATTCTCCGCAATCCTCACAACAACATTGTGAGCTGTGATCATAATTTGTTCAGTACACTTAGGTAAAGGTGCATTTTCATTTTAATACTGAGGAAATTAAAAAGCTCACAGAGTTCTTGCAAGCAGGGGTCCGAGGAGAATGCAGTGTACCATGGATTCAATTCCATCCTCTTCAATTGAGCCTGGAGGAGTAGCCCCCACACAGGCAGAGTTTTCACATAGCAATGCAGAATTATTTCCATCCCTCTCATTTAATCGATCGAAATCAAACCGCATGGAGAGTTTCCTGTCAGGGCCTTTGGCCAGACAGAAAGATGGGGTGCTGGTGTTAAGAAACAAGTCTCCTCGGTGGCATGAGCAACTCCAGTGTTGGTGTTTGAACTTTCATGGACGAGTAACAGTTGCTTCAGTGAAGAACTTTCAGTTGGTGGCTTCTCCGGAAAATGGACCCCCTGGGCCAGAACACGAGAAGATCATCCTCCAATTTGGAAAAGTGGGCAAGGATCAATTTACCATGGATTACCGGTATCCAATATCAGCGTTCCAGGCATTTTCAATCTGCCTCAGCAGCTTTGACACCAAGATTGCCTGTGAATAAAGGTATAGGTTTAAAAGATGAATCTTTCTGAGTCTGGTAATTAGTTTTGAACCTAAGTTGACCAACTATTATATACTTGAACACAACTCTTTCACCCCAGTGCCCATAACACTTCCAGAATCCATACGGTTGTTTGTGCTTTGTAATGTTGATGGAGTCGGTTGGTCTTTAGGTGCCAATATCTGCTAAACGAGTATGATTGACTCTTATCTTTTTCTCGTATTCTAGTAGCAGTTAGGTTTAAAGGTCACTTAGTGGGTTGAGTTCAATGAGGCCGTTCACTGAAGGCGTTCGTAGTGCTGGGATTGGCAGGCATACAGCGTGCTCAGACGCTCCAGACCTTCGTGGATCATGATTTTGCCAAACCCCGGAGTTCTGGAATATAAAGGTGGAGAACTTTGGTTCTTTGTCACTCCTCCATGTGCTGTAAATTTTACGTTTTGAATGTATATACTGGCTATTTTAACAAAACCCTGTTTTCCTGAAATTTGACCACATTTAATTTTATATGTACATTTTGTTTCGTCCAAGTATAGGCTGTTCAATCCCCCATTGCATTCGGAATTCTTATAACGAGTTGCTTTGCAAAGCTGCATCCATGGACGGTGGCTCTTCTGGCACTGTCCCAAACCTCGCCCGTTGTTTCCTTTTGACAAGGAAGAGACGAAGAAAAATTACAAACTTCGAAAATTTCAACATGGTAACAGAGCCTTGGTTACGGCCCGTGCAAGCCGAAGTGCTTGTCACATGGAAGTGTGGACTTGTAAACAAGCATGGACTCCTAACATGGAGTTGGCATTTGAGTTCTTAAGAAGCACCTCTTGAAAGGATTGGAAACAAGTTTGTACTCCATTGGAATCGACCTTTGAGTTTCAATTGTTGATGTGTGGATCTCTACGCGTGAACCACTAAATGGGGTTCCATGTGCGGAGGCGTGTTAGCTATCCCACATCGGTGGGTTCAAAGAAAAATAATGAATTTAAATAGGATTGCTCCACTCTAACTAATACTGAGATCTTTTGTAATAAAAACTACACATCAGACGGATTGGGTAGATGGTAATTACCAAGTTGGGAACAATATCAGTGTCGTTAGGGTGGGGCCCTTCGACCCACCGATAAAAAAAATTCCGACAACTTCATCGTCTTCTGTTTCTTATCGTAGAATCTACGCGTATTTCGACTATGGTACTGATTGAACGGGTCTTTTGAGTTCTATGCTGCCCTTATTTTGCGAGTTATCAGAACAGGGCTCTCTGAGTTGGCCAAACTCTGGAATTTTCAAAGTTTGTTTGCATGCCATTTGGTGCAGAGGTCGATACCAAACCTTGGCTCTTTGGTGTGCAGTCTGTGTACAGCATACAACCGAGATTACTTACTGTTGCATGCCTAGGAGGGTAGCGCGTTTTGGGATGCGGGCGAGCTATTATCGGCCAGCCCCCATCCTAAGACGGCACCAGGTACAGACCGCAGGACATGGGTGACGTCTAATCCTCGTCCCTCCCCCTACCTAATTAAAGCGTATTCTATATTTTTTAACCTTGTCAACTGACGCCAGCATCACCACTGCGGAGCTTTCTTATTGAGTGGGATAGCATGGTGTCGAGTGGCACTAAAATATGGTGCGATCCGATGCATTTTATAGGGATCCGAAAGCATATGTTCGGACACCCCTATCCCATGTTTACCGTTTTCTCCCGCACTTCAAAAAGAAAAAGGAAAAAATGGGTTAACAGGATACAACTTAAACAAATTTGGGAGCCTAAAGTATTAACATTCACCAGGGAGAATAAAAGCCTAAAAATTGCTCATAGGACCATAGTTTTTGGTACAATGTAACGCAGTGATATACTGCTGTTCTTCTGATTTGGATTATACGATTTTGCGTCGTTTCTCCAGATATACGTATAGCAGACAAGTTTAATATATACAAATACAACCATAAATTCTAATTGAAAAATACAACCATAAATTCTAATTGAAATTAAGCGGTTTGCAAGCGGATGACTGATTCCGAATTTGTAGGTATGGACTCAGCAGCTTCTTCTTCAGTAGGTAGATCATCCGACTCCAGTTGTGGTTGATTAAGGCTCCGAACAAACTCAGAAAATGAAGGAAAATGTTCAGGTGAGAAGAAGTCCGCTCCCATTCTCTGATATGTGAATAGGTTGATCACATTCTCTCCCAACAAATTCTTCTTTATCTGTTGAAAGCCTCCGCGAGCTCCCATAACTGATGAGTTTTGGCCAGCAATCTCAATCCCATGCTTTCTGCAAGCTGTTTTAATTTGTGAAAGTAATAACTCGGGACTTGAAAGGGAGTCCCGTGGCTGATGTTCATCTGATAGGTCCATTCCAGGCAATATAATTTTGCACGAGTTCCTCGCAAACATCTCAGCAACTGCTTGGTAACCATCTCTAGAGGATGTGTTGTAGAACCCAGAAGTCAGCTCAGAAGGGTGAGCCCTTGTTTTATACCAAGAGTGCATTAGTGGAACTTTACCACAAACTTCCACTTCAGTGTCACCGAAAGTTGACGAGGCAAGAGAGAGGAGGCGATCTCCATGAGAAATGAGCTGGTTCGAGTACCAGGAGAGGAAGAAGTCACCATATGGAGACTCCCATGAACCGCCATTATCCTTGAAGAAGTTGTTTGCATTTGGTGACTGGTCGTAGCTAGGAACATCATGAGGACCACCAAGACCCCACAGAGGGTTTCCGGCTGCTTCAGCATGTTGCTTAAGAATCCTTAGCATGTTTTCATCATAACACTGGAATTCTCCAACTCCGGGAGTTTTATTTTTGACCAGTCGGTGCTGAGAAGGATATTGAAGCTCACCATCTGGTCCTAAGCTCATTGAGATGCCCTGAAATTTAGCAATACAGGAAATTGACAATTTAGTATGCGAACAAAACGTATGATGACTAATGAAATGCGGAGTTTTCAAGTATCATGACTCCTTACCGTGATTGTGGAACCAAGGAAAGGCGCCAACGAAGATTTAAAGCTTTCGCAGAAGTCTTCGTAAACTTGGATTGGAGTCTTTCCATTCAGAACAGGAAGTTCATCGACAGCAAGCGATAAACACTCTTTGTAGAGCTGCCCTGACCGGTCCTTAAAGAATAGACCAGGTTGGGACTCACCAAGGCGAGATACCCACGCAGGGAGTGGGATCTTCGGTTGTTTAGACGCATGGAAGCAGAGCGAGACATGGAGCTCAAGGCCGGCTTTCTGAACCATCTCTGCAACGGCTAGGTAGCCTGACCACTCGTACTTCCCCATGGCTTCTTTCTCAACCACTCCCCACCAGACCGGGAGCTCCACACCGTCCACCCCCAACAACTTCAGAGCCTTTAATCCGGCAGCAATCGCTCTAGCATGATTCACCGCGTTGCAGTCTGAAACTGTATCTAGAGGTAACCCAACAAATAATCTTACTCCATCATTCTGCAAAGTATAACACATCACAAAAAATGAGTCAATTAAGTTACATAAATCAGGCCGGAAAATCAACAAATAGAACATTAAACTTCTAGGACTACATAATAAGTTAAATTAATGTTTTGGCCTTTTTATCCAAAATGGTCAGTGAGATTGGCATAACTTGTCATTTTAGTCATTAAGATTTAAAATCAATAGAAGTGATCCCTAAGATGTTCACCATCAATCATTTTGGCCATTCACCCCATTAATTAAGAGTATTTTTGTCAAATTAACCCCTCCCTTGAACTAGATTTTCTTTAATTTAACAGAAATTTTTTCACAAAATAATCAAAATAATTGACGGTAGATAATATCATGAACCAAAATGAAGAGTTACGACAATCTCATGACCATTTTGGCTAAAAAGTCTGTTGTTTTACTTGATTCCAAACATGTTTTAACTGAAAGGCTTTTTAGTTAAAATGGATTTGCATCCATTCTTATTTTGGTTATTGATTTAAAATTAGTTTCTGAGTTTGTCTACCTCAATCATTTTGGTTATTTCGTGAAAAATCACTACTAAATGAGGATAAAAAAGATAAAAATGATTGATGCTGAACAATCTCAAATGCCCCTTCTATAGGTTAGGTTTCAAATCTTAAGGACTAAAGTGAGAAGTTAGACAAATCTCAGATACTAAAAAGTCTAACGGAAATTCTAGTCTTCAAACCAACTAGGAAACTACAAAACATTAAATTATCATGGAAGTATTGTAGGCAAATTCAAAACTTATCATGTTTCTTGAAAACCCTTTTATAATTTCATAAACTTGAGGTCAATTCTAATTTATATAATAAAAATTTGAAATTCAATCACTAGTTTCCCATTTTTCTCCAATTTCTCAGAAACCAAACAAAAATCTAAGTTATCTAACACATAAAAATTGAAGAAAAAACCACTTACCGGTTTGGATCTTTTGGCAGGACCCGAAACCTTATCGGACCGGACTGGTGAATCGGATTGTACGGCCCTCACAGTAAACTGAAGCCGGGCGCTTTTCCAGCTCTTGCTCTGACCAAAACAGACGTTGGTCTTCAAATTTCCATTCAACTTAGAAAACGCAAACTCCGTTCGCACCAACTCCGCCTTTCTGACCGCCGCCTGAGAGCCGCGAAACACCGAAACCTCCATTTCCCAAACACCCGATTACCCGAAAACTTTTAACAACCCGAAATCAACAGACTTAAAAAATCTACAACAAAGAAAAGAAACAATTGAAAATTTGATTTTTGTGACTTTAATTTATGAAAATCCAGAAAGTTTGAGAGCTTCTGAATGCAGGCGAATGAGGCGCTGACGAGTTTTGAGAAGTTATGGCATCGGCAAGCCCGATGCTGAGATTTATAATCAAAGAGGACCTCCTACGCGTCTTTTCTTTTTGGAAAAAAAAAAAAAGATAAAACCAAAGGCCAATAAGACTCTACCACGTGTCGATCGCACAGGAATCTAATGTAGTCCGGCGCTAAATTATTCGAATTTTTTTTTTTCAAAAGAAGGGAGAGAATAGTCATATAGGTGGTTTGAAATTTGTCTTTTTGAATTTTTTTATATAAATTTGACTCTTTATTCAAAATGGTCACTTATTATAATGGACAAGTGATCCCGGGGATCCATGATCGTGATCGTTTATTATATATCGTGCGGTCAGTTTTTATTAGGTACTATATATATTTAAGTTTAGATTTTAGATTTAAAATGATTTCTGACCGCACGATGTACGATGAACGGTCACGATCACAGGATCTCCGGAATTCCCAAGAAAAGGATCTGGCGAGGATCCTATTCCCATTATAACTCCTCACTTTGGTCCTCATGTTTAAATTCAATATAACTGTTTTGGCCTGCCGTGAAATATCTTTGTTACATAAGGACCAAAATGATAAAAATAATACTTTTGATTTAATACACAATGTGCCAAAATGATTTGACAAAAAAAATTCTCATTTTTGTCATCTTATCATTATTTAACTGAGATTTTCACGAAATAACCAAAATGATTGATGATTGACAAATACATAGACCAGTTATATTAATTTTAAATCTCAAAA